GAAAATAGAGGCAAGTAGAAGAGGATTTTCACAGGTTTCCACCACTGCATTGACCCACCTACCTGCATTGTGCCCATAAACTAAGCCTTTCCCTTGGTGCTGTGGGTAAACTTAAGTTCTTAGCCAGGGCCTACTGAAGGACACTGCTTTAGTAGTTCTTTTTGCTTTCAGGCATCATTAATTTTTCCCTTTTTGATTGTTATTTTTCATGGCTCTCTTTTCCAGCTTTTATTCTGTATACCCATATACACACATTCATACGCATCCTCCCACCTAGATTTATTGTTCTCCTTAACGTTTTATACAAGTAAATATAAGTAAATAGATTTTACCCCACCAATAAAAAGTAAGGTCCATGACAGCAGATGGTTCTCTGTTTTGTTTATTGCTGTATCTGCACCTGGTACATACTAGGGACTCTAAAAATATTTGCTAAATATTCTACCTACTTAGTGGAGGAACACTTCATAAAGCTGTACTTGCCATTGCAGGGCTTAATGCTTGCATTCCTTTATGTTATACTGTTCAGTTATGTTGCTTACAAATAATGCATAGCCCGCTAATTTCCACTACATTTATTTCACTACCTACAAATGGACAGTTTGACAAATGTTAGTCTAGTGGGTAGGCCATATATATGTTGATTTCACCTTCTTACCTATCTCCCCGACTTCCTTAAACCAGTCAACCTATAAGAAATGATTGCTGGGCTCACGCCTATAATCCCAACACTTTAGGAGGCAGAGGCAAGAGGATCACTTGATGCCAGATGTTTGAGACCAGCCAGGGCAACAGAGTGAGATCCCATCTCTACAAAAAGTTTAAAAACTAGTCGGGCGTGGTGGCACACACCTGTAGCCCCAGCTACTTGGTAGACTGAGGTGGGAGGATTGCTTGAGCTCAAGAGTTTAAGGCTGCAGTGAGCCATGATAGCTGCAGTGAGCCATGATAGCACCACTGCACTCCAGCCTGGGCAACAGAGCAAGACCCTGCCTCACAAAAAAAAAAAAGAAAGGAATGATTGGTGGAAATGAAAGTATACTTTTAGGACAAAGTAATAGAATTGAAGCGTGATTGCTTCCATCAGGCTCACCACAGGAAATCAGTTTTAAAATACACCTCATTTATTTGAGGTTCAGTTTTCTAGTAACTTGAGTTGCGTAGAACATTGCCAAGAAGTTAGAATAATAGTTTAAAAGACCTCTTGAACTTCTCATTAAGCTCTCAAAAAGTCTCTGTAGCTGAAAAATAATTTTTTTTGAGACCGAGTCTCGCTTTATCGCCCAAGCTGGAGTGCAGTGGCACCATCCTGGCTCACCGCAACCTCCACCTCCCAGGTTCAAGCTATTCTCCTGCCTCAGCCACTCAAGTAGCTGGGGCTACAGGCACGTACCACCATGCCTGGATAATTTTTTGTATTTTTTTTTTTTTAGTAGAGATGGGTTTTCACGGTGTTAGCCAGGATGGTCTTGATCTTCTGACCTCGTGATCCGCCTGCCTCGGCCTCCCAAAGTGCTGGGATTACAGACATGAGCCTCCGTGCCTGGCCCTCTGTAGCTGATTTTTAAAATGTGGAAGTATTTTCCTCTCAGAGTGTGATCATTGTGAAAATGTTGTAAGAATCTGGAGAGAGTTAAATTCCCTATATAACTTTGGCCTTCCAGCAACCACTGAGTGGTGTGTGTTAGTGCCTTCTGAAGCTTTTAAATGTATTCCTAAACACACACACACAAAGCTGTTCTAATTTGCACTCTCCCTACTGATGTATCAAAGTGCCCATTCCTTCTCATCCTTCCTTCTACTGCAGCTCATTCAGTTTTTAATATTTGTAAATTAGAGACAAAAAAGTTTTTTTGTTTTTTCTTTTTTGCTTTTTCATTCTTTTTTAGTGAGGCTGAGCATTTTTCCTATGTTTAAGAACTATTTATCTTCTCTTTGATTTTACTTGTCATATGTCTTTTTTTTTTGTTTTGTTTTGCTACTTTGAATTATTAAGGGATAACTAGTTGTTTTTTGTTTTTTGTTTTTTTTTTTTAACTCAAATCTATTGTGGCTTCCTAGCCTTGCTCTATGCAAAAATTACATATAATGTCTTAAATATTCTTCTGTAACTTTAAATTTGCATCCTATTTGGTATGTGGTCATGTATATCACTTTCTTTTTTTAAATTTTATTTTAGATATGGGGGTGCATGCGCATGTTTGTTACATGGGTATACTGTGTACTGGTGGGTACTGGGCTTCTGGCATACCCATTACCCAAATAGTGAATATTGTACTCAATAGGTAATTTTTCATCCCTCACCCCCTTCCCAAACTCCACTTTTTTGGAGTTCCCAGTGTTTATTATTTCCATCTTTATGTCTGTGTGTACCCATTGTTTAGCTCCTACTTTATAAGCAAGAACATGCAGTATTTGATTTTTTGAGTTAGTTCACTGAGGATAATGGCCTTCACCTCCATCCCTGCTGCTGCAAAAGACACGATTTCATTCTTTTTTATGGCTGCTATCATTTTCTTTAATCCCTATATAGCTCGTGGCCTCACACCATTAAATAAGCCATTCATTCTTGTCCTATTACCTTTGTAATATGTTAAATCCCTGTGTGTAAGCAAGCCTGTTTGAGGGTGCCAAAATATGTTTTGTTCATCTTTCCTTTTTTTTTTTTTTTTTTTAAGACAGAGTCTCATTCTGTTGCCAGGCTGGAGTGCAGTGGTGCGATCTCTGCTCACTGCAACCTCCACCTCTTGGATTCAAGTAATTCTCATGCCTCAGCCTCCCGAGTAGCTGGAATTACAGGCACGTGCCACCACACCCAACTAATTTTTGTATTTTTAGTAGAGGCGGGATTTCACCATGTTGGCCAGGATGGTCTCGATCTCGCGAGCTTGTGATCCACCTGCCTCAGCCTCCCACGTCTTTTTTTCTATTTCATGAGGCAATATCATACTGTGGTAGTTGTTGTACTTTGTAGTGTACTTCATACCAGTTGGTGTTCTTTCTTTCCTTTCTAGGTTTTCTTGATTATTCTTGTGCATTTGTTCTTCCAGATGGAACTTTGCCAAGTTGCAAGACTTTTAGTGAGGCTTTTAAATTTGAAAATAATTTTGTTCAATTTATGAGCTAATTTGGAGATAATTTATGTTTTTACAGCATTGATTACCTGTTTATACACATAATATATATTTTCATTTATTCAGACTTTCTTAAATGCTGTTCAGTAAAATTTTACAGTTTTGTTCATATAGGCCTTATGCTTTTTTAAGTTTGTTTTAAGATTTTGTAGATTTGTTGCTATTATAAGTAAATTTTTTTCATCACTGTTGTTAAATTATTTTGCATATTCTAGGTAGACTGTTTAGTCCTATCTGTAAGTTATGATTTTTTCCTAAGCCAAAATCTGTTTCTCTTAATTTTGTTACTCTAATTTTTGACCAAAGTCTCTAGAATAATTTCAAAATTGAAAATATTGTAATATTTTTCTCAGTATAATTTGAATTATTCTAGGGTTTTGCCATTAAGTGTGGTGTTTGCTGTTTTGTTTTACATAGAAAATTGAGGACCTTGCTTTTTGTATCTAGTTTTCCTTTGTTTCTAGAATTAGGAAAAATCAGGCCACAAGTCTCATTTTGAACAAGTCTTCCCACAAGTCTTCCATTTTCAACTTCTGCAGTGTCTAGGTTCCAGGAACAGGAATAGGGGATAGGAGTCCATATGTTACCATGCTGGTAAGGAAGGCTATTTGCTCTACACCTAGCTGTGCTCTCTGCTTAGCACTCCACCTAGTACCCCAGCAGCCTGGAAGTTCTGGCCTTGACATTACAAGGAGGCCTGAATGGGCATGCCCCAGCCTTACCTAGGTAAGGAGCCACATTCTGCCTCTGCACATATCTGTACCAGTGACTACCTGTCTCTGACAGATGGCCCTTTCTCACAGGGGCTGTCATCATTAGTCATGTGGATGGTAGTTTAGACATTCTAGTGCATAATATGGAATAATAATAATTATACCTGACATATTAAATACTTACTGTGTGCCAGACACTGTTCTATTTCATATGTAATCATCATTTAATCTTAAAAAAACTCATGAGGTAAGTATTATGAATACCATTTTACAGATGGGAAAACTAAGACAAAGAAGGGGCTTAATAACTTTCCCAGGGTCACACAACCTAGTAGATATTGATTATGAATGCCCAGTAAATGATGCAAGGATGATAATGATTGGAGACAATTAAAAAGTGTACCTATTCAGAGTATTTGATTCTGGAAGCTTGTAAGTGAATAACATATCTGAGAAAATAAGCATTACACCCTGACAATGTCAGGTAAATGAGATCTTGACTTTGACTCCACAGAAATTTATCTAGCAGCCAAATTGGCTGTTAATTGAAAATGGATCTGGGAAGAGGGCCTCAAAGGCATAGAGAATAACAATTTATCACATAAAAAAAGAGAAGGAAACCTTTCTAAATGGAATTCTGAAGCATGTATACATCCAAGGAAAAGGAGTTAAAAATGTTAATATTCCAGAAAAGAAGTCAAGTTTTTGGTTTCTGTATTTGTTTCTGAGGCTTCCAAGAGACTAGGATTCAGTGTTTTCATTTGTCACATAGAATTAAAGGGTAAAACCTACATTGAACCCAGTTATGGGAAGGTAAATGGGAAAGAGCTATATTTCTGAAGCTGAAATTAAAGTGTGTTTTTGCTTCATTTGATAGGAAAACAGAAATCATAGTTTTTCAGTAATCAACAACATTTGTCAGTTATTGAGATGTGTATTTTTTTCCCACCACCATTTTTTAACCTCATGCCTAAATATAATACAATAGCCTTTTAACTGGTCTCTTTGCTTCTTGTGTTTTGTTGTTGTTGTTGTTTTGTTTTTCTTTATCCATCCTGACCTGGTTGATAAGTGAAGTTAAAATGTCTATTGTATTATGACATATCCCTGGTTTAGAAACATTCTTTTTTTTTTTTTTTTTTTTTTTTTTTTTGCACTCTGACATCTTTAATAAGTCTTGTAAAGGCTTACTAAATACAACTAAGAATTATACCAACTATACCCTAATGAAGATTAAAAATTTACATTCCAGTTAACTACCTTAAAAGTTAAGTCCACTTTCGTCCTACAGATATAGCCTGAGGAAGGTTAGACAGGCACGCCCCCATCCTTTCCGTCATCCCTCACCCCTTTGTCTTGAGAAAGGAGGTTTAGCTGCTTCTTTAGTTCTGCAATTTCTTTTTCTTGCTCTATTATCTTCATCTGTAGAGTGAAATTAACATTTCCAGAAGTTTGGAAAAGTTCGCTCTGCAGCAGCTGAACAGCAGATGGTCTCTGCGATGAGTTCCTTCTCGTTAAGTGCTGGATATACTTGGCTTGTACTGGACACCTTTTACTGAGGGATTCCGGCAACTGACCAGTTCTTAAACCTGTCAGAACTTCTGCTCGCTCCATTTCTGTTCCAAATGGCTGAAAGAGCTCTAGCAGGATCACACCCAAGCTGTACATATCTGACTTGGCATCATACTCAGATCCTTCCAACTGTTCAGGTGAAGCGTACAGACAAGTACCCACTCTGGACGTATGTGTTGGCGTTCTCTTCCCGTTTCTATTGGTCCAGTCTGTGTTCTTCTGTAGGATGTCTGTGCAGGCCAGACCAAAGTCTCCTATTTTTACTTGCTGATCAGGGCCATGAAGAAAAATATTTCTTGGCTTCAGATCTCGATGCACAATTCCCATGTTATGTATGTAAAACACACCTTCTACCAATTCTTGAAAAATTTTTGTTGCAACATTGGCCATAACATAAGGACAGGCAGACTCGTCCACACACTCCCGGCTGCGCTTGTTTCTCTCGGCTATCCAGTCCCACAGCAAGAGCTCACACAGCTGCATCTGGATGTGCAGCATCAGGTGGTACTGGGCCTCTGTCTGACCCAAAAAGTTGACATTTTCTTCGGAAGATTCTTCAGTGGATGTGAAACTATCCTCTAGGTGGGAATTACACCTGAGTGGCAGCTGCTGTTCCATAATTGAACTGGTAGACAAACCAGCCAAGTCATTTTTCTGGAGCTCCAGGGTTGACTCAAGTTCACCAGAGTCTCTTATGACTAAACTGGTGGTATACTTCACCGACTTGTTATTCTGATTTTCAGTGTCAGATTCTCCGATGTTCACTTAACAGGTTTATTTAAAATTGGATGTATTTTTGGAGGCAAAATCATTGTTTAAAGATTTTAAGCTTCATGACTTCTTCCTGCTTACTTTATTAATTGTTTTTGTTTTTGTTTTTGTTTTTGTTTTTGTTTTTTGAGACAAGGTCTCACTGTGTTGCCCAGGCTGGAAAGCAGTGGCACAATCATGGCTCACTGCAACCTGGAGTTCCTAGGCTCAAGTGATCCTTCCCCGCTTCAGCCTCCCAAGTAGCTGGGACCACAGGCACATGCCACCATACCTGGCTCATTTTTTAATTTTTCATGGAGACTGGGTCTCCCTATGTTGCCCAGGCTAGTCTCCAATTCGTGGGCTCAAGCAATTCTCCTGTCTCAGCCTCTCAAGGTGTGGGATTACAGGCCATACTGAGCCACTGGGTCCAGGTGATCTGCTTAATTTGAGTAAAGAGACGAACATACTAAAACCCAATTCTAGCTAGGGTAAGGAAAGGAAATATTCTAGAATATCTGTAGTTATATATGGAACCTACAGTAAGTTGGAAACTTTGTCTTGGAATTGGGCAGTATCAAAGCATCTTGGAGGTCAGAAAGCAGAAACTGTTAATAGCTCTCCTGCAGCAGGAGCAGTTGTGTTAGCTTCTCATCTGCTCGGATGGAATGATCAGAAGTCAGTTTCCGTATCTTTAGCCCTCTGCTCAAGATACCAGCTCCAGAGAGGGAACATCTGCTTTTGCTAGCCTTGCCTTCCTTACCTGCTCACCCTTGGTACCAGGAGCATTCATGGGTTGGTCTGTTTCTAGTCTGTAGTTGTTTTTTGTTAAATTTGACATTATGAGCAATGTAGATAGTTTTGGATTGTGCTTAAAAGCCAGCCCATCCCTGACAGTGGAAGGAAAAATAAAAATAAATTTTTCTCTCTCTGTCTTATTTGTAGGTAGAAACAATAGATTCATGAAAAAGCCTCTATTCTGTCTGATATCTCGCTGACATGCAGAATTTTGTGCTTCAATATATTCATTTTCAATACGGAGTATTTCAAAGAACATCTGTATCTTACTTAGCAACTGGTTTCTTCCCCCAACTAATTTCATTTTTCATGTCATTAATGGGTTTTGTGTATGACTCTACCCTGTGGCATAGAACAGATATGAATATATATATTCACATAGATATGTTATGAATCTATATGCATATGTAGGTGCATATATATGTAAACACTGTAATAGTTTTATGTGGCATAATTTGTCAGTTTTTCATTTTTCAGTCTGATACATCATGACCCCTGAATCTCTTTTCTCTAGCTTTCTTGTATTTCTGAGCCTGAGAAACATAAACATCATTTTTAGTTTCTTGGTATTCATCAGGCCTGTGGGATGGAATAACTATTATAATGTAGAGTAAAAGCTCATCAGGTTTTATGTCATGGGACAAATTACCTTTGTTTTTCACCCTTCTAATCACAGTTGGGGAGTTATGGGAGATGCTGAATTGGAATTCCGACATTGGGCAGTGTGTTCTTCTCTGGGAAACTAGAAGTTGTTTTTCTGCCAGGATAACATTTGGTTTCTGGGTACCATGTGTGTCCTCCCTTCACCCTGACTCTGATCTAAATACTGATTGAACATACTCTAGGTAGTAATGATTTGGTATAAGAGATATACTACTTTCAGAGTTGTCTTCACAACTGTTTGCCCTTCTAAAATTATCCCCTATTTTTCTACTATTTTGATGACTGAATGAGTACTTTCCAAAGATGATAAATGCAAGTTAAAAGCCAAAGTAGTAAACTTGTGGGTGTGAAGTCTGTGTTCCTTCTGACTGTAATCCGATTTCTTATAATTTGCCTAAAATTATAGTAAGTTGAAAAATGTATGCAGAAAGTTCATTTTAGCATTCATTATTTAGTGAAAATAGGAGAACAACCTAAATCTGTAGCAATAAAGTATCAAGTTAGTAAATTATCTGTACACAAAAGAATATTATGCAGACATAAAAAATAATGGCATAGTTTTATGTTTATTGATTTGCAAGGATGTTTGTGATACAGAATAATGTCTGTGATGTATTATTAAATAAAAAGCAAATTGTAGAGCAGAATTTTTATGTTCCCATTTATGCAGAATTATATACTTATTTCTGCATGTGTATTCATGGAGCACTGTCTGGGAAGTATGTTAAAACGTTGGTTATAGCTAATGGCAGATTTGGAGATTTCTTTCCTTGCTAATTACTCATGCTTGGAACCAATACTATGATATTGAAATGTATCTGTCCCTTTTTGGTGATTTTTATACCATATTAATGTAATTTTTAAGAAATTTTAATATTTAACATTTGTGATTAGTAATTATGGCTCTTGGATGATCTCTTTTTTAATTTTCATGTTACTGAGCCTGCAAAACATGAAGATCACAGTTGGTTTCTTAATATTGACTCTGCCACATTTCAGTATCTTAGTATTTTAATTATGTCCTTAGCTTATGTCTTATTAGCACCTCTTCCTTAGCTTATATATTTTCTAAGTATAGGAGCTGCATTTGTTAAAGTCTATCTGTATATTACCTAGCATAGCATGTCTTGGAAGTAAACATTCTGTTTTGAATCCTCAAAAGTGAGATATATTCCCACTAATTTTGTAACAAATCATTTTGTACTCCATTTAGGTGTAGAGTTCGGTGCTCGAATGATAACTATTGACGGGAAACAGATAAAACTTCAGATATGGGATACGGTAAGTATAGGAAAAATGCACTGTGTGATCTCAGTAAAGTTGCTTTATGAAAGTACATTGTACGTTTGTTTTAATGTTGTTATATGCCTGTTATGGTTTGTTAGACACTAACTTCCTGCAGCCTTGAGGTGAAATGTGGTGCTGGAGTAGATTGGTTTTTCTTATGCGCTGTTTTCAATAGATGGGCCCCGGGTGTTGGTGTTAGTGAGCATATCTGAGTGAAAGCTCATGTTATGTGGTCTAAATTGAAATGCTCTAGAAACTGTATTTTTAAGAAAAACAATCAGCGTGTCTCAAGTACACGTAGGAAGTAAAATAAGAATGTCAATATTATACAATAACTTATTCTTCAAGCTTATTATTTTAAATATTTTGGTCTTAACAACTTAAAGTCATGTTGCTCTTAATCCATTATCCTAATTCTGTCATACCCTTGTTCATTGAGTACCTATTATATGCCATACAATATTGTTTTTAATCGTGATTCCTCGTCTGAACCATAATATACAGAAAATGATTTGAGTGACTGTTTTCTCTATTCTCCCATTTTAGATGCATAAAAGTGAAGTGACTGTATTGTATACATTGGGTGGCTTAAGGTAGCAATTTTCAAACCATTTTGTTTCAGAACTGCTTTATACTTTTAAAAATTAATGAAGACCCCCAAAGAAGTCTAGCTTATATGGCTTAAAGGTATTAGTATTTACCATATTAGAAATTAAAAATGAGAAAAGTATCAAATATTCAATCATTAATTCATTTTAAATTAATAAATTACTCGATAGGGTAAATAATACAATTGTAATGGAAACTATATTTTCCAAAACAAACAACTACATTTTTCTAGTGAGACTAGTGATATCTGTCTGCTTAAGAGAAGACACTGGATTCTCATACCTGCTTCTGCACTGAGCCTTACATATGTTGTTTAATTGAAGTATGTTAAGAAAATCCAGCCTCACACAAATAGTCAGTTGGGAAATGGAGGACCACATGGACCCTTAAAGAGTCTGAGGAATTCCCAGAATCCTCGTATCACACTTTGAGAACCACTGCTTTAGGGCATTAGGAGATAATTCTTCACAGAACCCCAGTTAAGAAAACCTGTAAGGTCTCCTGTTGTGTCAAAGACCATATTCTCTAAACCAGTAAATGAGATATAAATCATCATGTACCTGTGGCCTATTTTTCTTCAGTCACTCAGTCTTAGTTTCTCACTTGTCATGTGTAGTAGCCATTGAAAGAAGGAACCTTAGAGAACATCCAGTCTCACGGACTGGATTCCCTAGACCAAGCAAGTTACTGAAGGCTGCTGTGGGACCTGGGTTTCCTGATCTTCCTATGTGTCACAGTTGTCCCTTAAATGATAATCCTACATGTCTGTCTTGTCCTGTCCTTGAATTGTCCACTCAACTCTGGATTCTTGTGCTTTTTTTGCCTCTTCTTCCTCAGTGAAGATTCACACTTTTACTATTTCTTAGGGATTTCCCATGTGAGCCGAAAGCATCTCAAAACTTTTGATTTGCATTCTCTCAGGCAACATCTCAAAACTGTTTGGAAAAGAGGAAAATAAAATACACAAAGTCCCTTTTTTCCTAGAAATTTAAAATTAATAATCTCCAACCAAAAAGAAGTATATTCTACTTCTGTATTAAAAGAGTTTCTCTCTTCTTGTTTTTGAGACAGGGTGTCTGTCACCCAGGCTGTAGTGCAGTGGCGCAATCGCTGCAGCCTCCAACTCCTGGGCTCAAGTAGTCCTCCCACTTCAGTCTCCTGAATAGCTGGGACTACAGGCGTGCACCACCACACCCGGCTGAGTTTCTGTCTCTTATTCAGAACTGATTTACATAAACTAAGTTACTTTTTTTAGCTTATAACCTTGTGTAACACACATCTTTGCATTGTGTAGTGTGAACCAGACTACTGTTATTCTTCAATAAACATATTTTTCATTTCTTATATTTTTGCATAAATACTTGCATTGCTTGAAGTGCCTTTTTTTCTCTTTTCCATTTAAAGCAACTAAGATATCAGCTCTTTTTGAAGCCTTTTTGACCCTCATGGGAATAACTTATTCTTCCCGTAGTATTTTGTGCATATATCTCTTGTAGTTCTGGTCCCATTGTCATAGCTTTTTGTTCACATTAGCTACCCTTCTCAGAATAAGCATTATGAGGGAAGGATCCACCTATATCCTTAGGCAGCTTTGTATCCTGCATTCTTAGCTTGGTGACTGATACATACAGCGTTTGGTAAATTTTAATGAATGAATAGAGAATCTCATTCTGTCTAAGCAACTTGTAGGGTCACTGGATGTGTTCAGGAGATGTCATCTACTAAATTAAAGTACATAGTTTTGAAAAGGAAAGGTTAATATAGTAATGATAATTATGTGATATTTTGGGCATAAACCACTTCATTGTCTGTAGGTTATTTTATTCACTTGTTCTTCTATTCTTAAAGTAGTCCCTTAAATAATCTTTGGTTTTTGAAACTTGAGTAAGCCATTCATTTCCTAGTTGTCTGTTTTGTTGATTAACTCATCATGCATTCTTTTGATAGAAGCCTGGTTTTTTGTGGGTTTTTTTTGTTTTTGTTTTTGCTTGAGTTGATTTCTTTGCACAACAATAAACTTGCAAAAGAAATCTAAAATAATTTCTCTTGCTGGACAGTATGAGAAGGGAATAGAAGAAAAACCCGTGTTTGTGTTCATCTAGGAGGGCAGAGGGCTCATTTTCTTTCCTCTATTTCTGAGAGAGACTGTGGTCCCTTTAAAGACATCATAATGCCCAAGAAAGAATTCGACCGCTTCCAACTTCTACATGGAGAGCTCCCGAACGAATGGCCTGATCCACATTTAAAGGACTGTTTAAAATAATTTAACTTATTTCTTTTGGAGGTTGTTTCTTGAGTCTTTGTCTTTCTTACAGGTTTTCCTCTTTGGTTGGGTTTTTTTCTTTGTTTTTGGTTTTGGTTTTGAGACGTCTTACTCTGTTGCCCAGGCTTGAGTGTAGCGGCATGATCACAGCTCACTGCAGCCTCAAACGCCTGGCCTCAAGCAATCCTCCCACCTCAGCCTCTTGAGTAGCTGGGACTACATGTGCTTCCCACCACGTGCAGCTAATTTTTTAAATTTTTTGTAGAGATGGAATCTCGTTAGGTTTCCCAGGCTGGTCAGGTTTTTCTCTTATTTTCATTGACTTTATTCTTTCTTTCATACCCAACTTCCAAAACTTTTTAATAAATGTAATCTAATACACATTAAGATTGGTCTCACACTTAGTTTATATCTGAGTGAAACAGGATTTTCCGTACCATTAATGTGTGTCTATACATTTGAATAGCCATTTGCATTTTTGGTAGCAAGGGTTACGTCTATTCATGGCCCAAGATGTTTACAAAACCATCCTAGAGTCCTTCAGGGGAAAATTAGCCAAATGTTGTTTGTTTCATCAGCCTTATAGAACTGAAGTTTTCTTAGTATCTTAGTCTTTTTTTTTTTTTTAGACGGTGTTTTACTCTTGTTGCCCAGGCTGAAGTGCAATGGTGCAATCTCAGCTCACTGCAACCTCTGCCTCCTGGGTTCAAGTGATTCTCCTGCCTCAGTCTCCCAAGTAGCTGGGATTACAGGCCCGGCTAATTTTGTATTTTTGTAGAGACAGGGTTTCTCCATGTTGATTAGGCTGGTCCCGAACTCCTGACCTCAGGTGATCCACCCACCTCGGCCTCCCAAAGTGCTAGGATTACAGGCATGAGCCACTGCACCTCGCCT